CAAATTATTTCGCTTCATTTGCTTTTTGGTCATTTTTTTACGTTGGTGTTAAAACAGGCCAAAACATAAAATTAATAAATTTGATGCAATAAGTAATTTGTAGGTTTTTATTATTTTGGATATTTTAGCAAGATACAGCAGAGCTTTCTGTCCTCCAGTGTTACAGTGGTATGTCTGCGGATTTACAATCTTAAAAAATGGATTTCGATACTAGTGGTGGGCAGAGCACAGATAACCCATTGGTAGCTTTGTGCTTAACTTCAAACAAACAGACAGAGCTATCTGTTCTAACCGCCATTATTTTTTTAACTGATAGGCTAAAGGGAAAGTAAGTAATCAACAGTACTCTTTCAACTCTTGGGCTCCTGTAATCGAATAGTAGGATTTGAACGCCACTCTTATAATGCACATCCAACCACAAAGGGTTAAACGCAACTTGCGGTCACAGGACACGAACATGTACTCTCAGATTCACTGTCCAGCTAACTATTGGGCCACACTCAGTTTCTCAGCAGTAGTGAGTGGTATAAAAGTATATTTGCTTGTTTGAAGTTAAGCACAAAGCAACACAATGGGCTATCTGTGCTCTGACACAACTGGTATCGAAACCCGAATTCTAGCTTTGTAAGCCTACAGACATACCACTGTGCCACTGGGGGGCGATTTCAGAGAAGGAAGATGTGAAACCTTCATCCTCACAGCGGAGAGGCAGCATATGATAATTTATTGTTATAATTTGAATAATAACTTTACAATTAAACAGCACCTGTATTAATACTAGTTTTTAAATCATTCATCATCGAAATAGTATTTTTCCAAATATGCAAAATATATATTGTTGTAACGTTATATTGTTCTTTCATTGGCAGCTTCTTTCAAATTTCCTGGTGAAAATTATTCAATGTCTAATTAAAGGAACGATAAAACAGAATTGGTTCATTTCATCTTCTATAAGCTTAAACACTGTGGTACTTTTAGGCTACATATATGAATGACGCTAACTGCATTACACTTAAAGAATCAACTTACTTGTACAAAGTAAGTTAATTAGTATGCGCGATAGCTAAAACAGTTAAATTTTAAAAAAGGGAGAGGAAACACTGACTGGTTCCTTCTACTACCTACAAAACAACTCTCTGTATTTTTAACTATCTCCTTGATGCTTCACTGAACCTCATATTTATAACCTACCCTCGAATTTACTAGAAGTTTTACGTCAAATCTCTTGAACTTTCTAGACATAATTTAATTTCATTATTACTACCCGCAGCTCCCTCAAGCAAACATCTAAATTACAACATTAAAAATATAGCTTATAACAATATGATCAACTCAACTATTTTTATATGTGACGTCAAGTGAAATGAAAATATTTTCAGCTATGGCTTTTCTGTCCAGCACCTTTTGTAAGGTCACCGCGAGTACAATTAAGGCAAATATCATTAACCAAAATACCAAAACATTGTACACACACACAATATTTGTATACAGTTAAAGTAAAAATGCGATTGAGGAGTAACTAGAACTATAAGAAATAATATGTGTTCGACTATAGGCAGCTTAAGAATTGGGTGAAACTTCTATGAAAAGTTAATTTTATCTGATTATCTAGAGTGCTAAACCTTTTTATTTACTTTTCTTTATTATTCTTGTTTTGATTTTAATCGTATGTTTAATCTGGAAGCTGATAATTTATTATAAATATTTATGAAAGCTAATATATGTTGGTTTCAATTTTATAATTTGATTCTATTCGAAGGCAAATTTTATGTGTAAAATAATCGGCGTTTATTTCTTATTATCCAAAGTTTAAACCTGTAATGTTTAAAGAGATTCTCTGATCCGAATACATAATCAGGAAAGTCCTAAAATAGATATGAATCGTTAATAAGACGTGATAATTGCTGATGATTTAATAGAATGACGTCAGGAGCTGAAATGGTATTAACAGCAATGCTTTCTACATAAAATAACTCAAGGCCTTTCGTTGCGTGGCTCAGCTGTTCTTTGAACCATGTCTTGTCACTCGAGCGAATCTAGTGTGGAAGGTGGCGCTTTACTGTGTTGTTTTTTTAATGCGGAATTTACAGAAACTTGCTGTACAAGGAAAGCTAGAACTGGTTTTATCACTGTTCTTCTTTCTCTGGTCAGCTAGAGCCACTTCTATATTTTACATGTGATAGCGTGTGCGAGTATATTGTTTGTGCAATTGAAACAGTTCATTCAGATTTATTATAATAAGAAATACAAAAATAATTCAAAACGAGTGTTAAATATTCTGCTTGCTAGTACTGTATGTGAAAAAAAATAATTTGAGTTGGCAGTGTTGTCGTTTTAGTGATGTAATAAGTAATATTTGTATTGCTTTGTAATGTGAAATGCGAGCGTTTGTAACTGGCCTTTACAAATGCTGTTGAGCGAAAGCGGGTTTCTTAATATCATGCACATTTTTCTTTCTTAAGTTAATTATAGTTTTTTTTATGTTGTGTGGTGAGTGAGCCCTAATGGAACGACAGACGAGTCTTGAAGAAGATTGTTATGAGGAACCCGGAACGTTAGACTTCAGTAGCCATAGCTATGCTTTTACAGAAGCAACGGTTCGGAATGGCCAAATTGTTGTACATTATGATGATTTAAGTAAGCCATTTTCTATGACATCTGAAGAAGAAGTCAAATACCAAAACTTCTTGAAACTTGCCTCTGCAGAAGCAATGGAAGAATTAGGTATTAAGTGTTTGAGTGTGTGGACAGTAATTTATAATTACTATTAGTATTATTGAGTATTACTATTAGTGTTAACACTGATATTAACACACACATTAGTACCTGTATCACACAATTTTGATGATCACATATGATCAAGTTGATGATTCTTTTATTAAACTGAAGAGCTGAAATAATTTCGAAAGTTAGTTAATTAGTAAATTACATAGTTATATCGATCTTCACACTTGAACAGTTGAAGCTTAAAAAAGTGAAAAGACCTTGCGACGTTAGTAGTAGTAGTAGTAAACACTGGAAACAGTCATCATTCAGTAAAATATGGGTTCATTTCAGTTTTAATCATAACTCGCATAAAGAATTATAATTACAAGTTTACATAAATAAAGTCACTTTGGCTTGAAACTCGAGCATTAAAGTATTCAGTAAAACTCTTATGAAAGCTTTTTTCTGTTGGGTATGGTGGAAGAATACTTTTATTTCACATGAATTGTTTATTTAGCATATATTTAAGTTGCTTCATTTCTCACATGTTTTCATAGCTAATTACAATGGAGGTACCCCTTTATTTTGCAGAGGTTGAGAGAGTATAAGGCAGCAACACTGGTACCTAATTGTATCTGTTCCATGATATTCATTATTATGGATTAGTGATTAAATTTTCTCAAAATTGATGACAAGGTCTAAACTTGGCTGCACCTGTGCAAATATAGACAGGAGATTTTTCCATTTACTTTGGAATACTGTTTCATTATTACATTTTAGTTGTAAGCTTAAAATTGTATAAAGGTTAATCCTATTTATCTCATTCATGATTTGAAAATTTTCACCAGATGTTGGTGAAGAAGATGCATATATATCCAGCACTCAAAAGCAAGACATTTCCAAGATGTATGAAGACTTTGAGGAGAAAGCTAAGCTTGAAGCTGAATGGAAAGAAGAATTGTCTAAGGTAAAAATAAGGAAATATACACAGAAAGTACATATATATTATTTCTTAACCATAAAGTTAATATTGCACACTGAATTAATGTAGTACTTACAAAATTACTAGAATGGAGGCTGAAAAATTAAATTATTACAAATATTATTGTTTCAAAGGTTACCAAGAAACTAACTATTGGAGTTACTTTATTTTTAATATTTGACCAAGACAGATTTGTAATGTAATGACCAGTCTGGAATGAGATGATCTTAATGATATTTAGAACTTGTACTTAAACTACCATTTTGTTATGTTACTTGTGATTAAATTCCAGAAGTGATGGTACATTCAATTACTTAGAATAACCTATCAAAGATACAACCTAATTCCCAAGGTAAAATTTAGTTTTTGTATTGTTCAGTTGACCATCAGTAAGTAATTAAAAGAAATGAACAGTAAAACAATAAAGTCTTTATGATAACTAAAGAAATCAAACTGAACTATTGATATATAGTTTGTTTCATGTATAGAGGGTGGGTACATAATATTAAAATTATTTTGGAGTCACACATTGTTAGAACTCATGTTGCCACATCAAGTCATACTCTGTTTGATGACCTTTCATTTTGACAGTAGCTTTGCAGTGTAATTTCCATTGTTAAAGGCTCTGTTGTAAGACTGTCATGTCCAAAGCACACAACTCCCCTTCAAGTGTGCAAGGAGGATGGTTTTTCAGTGCCCACTTCAACAGCCTGATTGCTTAGAGATCCATAGGTGCTACTTTTGTCAATTCATATGAAATGTCATGAGTAACTGTTTCATTCATCAGTTGTGTGAGGTATGTGACAGTTTAATAGGAAGTATGACAGGAAGCCTTACCCTGGTGAACCCATATCATGGTGGCCTCTTTTTTTTTTTCAGACAGAGATCTTTCTTGATTATCTTGCTTACAGTTGCCTGGGACAGGTGGGAAAACCTTTGCCATTGGCCTTTGTGTTCATGGATTCTTACCTGTTACAAGATGCTGCACTTTGCAAACCGTGGCTGAGGTACAGCTTGTTGTAGGCCTATTTCTGGATGATCATGGTGCCCCAAGTTTATCAATATTCCCTTATTTTTCAATGCCATTTAGTGCAAGGGATATCCCTATCTTGGAAATTCTATATCCCCAATCTGAATGCATGAATATGAACATTTTGTGTTGGAAAGTGCTTTACATACCCTTCCCAAAAGTGATCAATTTTTGATGGTACCACACTATAATTGAAATGCCTAACAATGTTAAAGTGTAGTTCTCATACATGCCATTCTACTGAGACTATATTATATGTTATTGTCACATTACTTGCTGATTTACATATTCAGAATTGTTTAAATATAATATACTCAACCTTCTGTATATGTAGAGGTTGTGAACATTTGATTAAATGTGTTGAAAAAATCATAATTGAAAGTTAAAATTGTGTATGTGATAGTGGGGTTGACATTTAAAAATAAATTCTTAATAGAACAGAAAATAAAATGATTTCTTAGCTCAAAGTGCTTTGAATAGAATGTAACTTACTATGTTAAGAAGCTTCAGAAAATAATCAATATTAATCTTTGCTATTATAAGTAACTCTAGTATTTGATATCATTAACTGTAGGTTTAGCTGAATGATTAACTACATTGTACACGTTATCTAAGGTGATGGAACAATAGATGTGAACTTACTGTATAAAAAGCTTGACTGATCATTGTGCTTTTTTTTATCAATTATTTTTGATGAAAATCAGTAATAAATTTTATTTTGTCTGTTTGTAAAATAATTAACCATGAATGATTAATCATTCTTTTTTGTCATTTAGGTGTGTTTTTAAATTAGTTGTTGCTTAAGAATCAAGGCATGTATATGTCTTCAAAAATTTTAATGTCTGATTGCACCTGTAATGTGAGATAGTAAATTCTACTTTTATTTTGTTATGGTTTAGTTTACTGTTCATTTATTACTCCTTCTATCATTGAGTTCAACTATAAATGTTTAGCTAGATTAAAGCGCTAACTCACCTTTTAGCTAGACCTCATTGAATTTGAGTATGTATAAATGAAACTGACACAAGCTTCCCCTAGCGATGATGTACAGATATTAATGTTGCGAAAGATTAATTATATAAATTAACTAGTCACATGAGGTGTAACCTTGTGGTCTAACCACTAAATTAAAAACTCTTCCTTGATCTTAAATGAGTTAGTTCACGAGATATAGATTGAATGCATTATTGCAGATTATTGCTTGATATTATTATTGCTCTTGAAATGGTTTAATTTTGGAATACTGTGTTGTTCTGGAATAAGATTTTTTCTTCTTCTGATTCTTTTTCTTAATTCATTTTATTTAACATTTGTATCAAGTCTTGGCCAGACAGAGATTTACTTTTGTTTTTTTTGTAAGTTTTAGTTTGGATTTTTTTAGTTACAGTTTAATGAATTATTTTTTTTTCGACTCTAGTTGTAGCACAATTTGGTTTTAGTTTGTTACAGTAACATTTAACAATTTATTTCAGCTGAAGAAAACTTAATGCAGCTAGATTTCAAATTCATTATGAAGTACATGTGTATGTAGTTTGTTGTTTCAAGGGATAATGAAGATTGTAGTAGTTGTAATTAATTATTTAACAATAAAATCTGTTACTAACTTTCTATAGCATTCACTTAAGGGGGTCTGTTTGTAATGCAGTGTATGTGAAAAAATGCTTGTTTAGTACTTAAAATGTATAGCATTTTAAAATTATTTGGAAAATAAGTGGTGGAATATAATCCTCAGCAAACTATCTTTATATGAGCTGATAGAATAGCAGTTAGGCAATTATGTTACACAAATAAAATTCCTTTTAATATAGATTGATGATGAAATTTTGGCCATTCGTCAAGTAATGGAATACAAGTTGAAACGTTCTCAAGAACTAAAACAGAAACTAGGAATCACTCCTTGGGTGGAATTTAAAGAAGATATGGAGCAAGGGATCAGACACATTCAAGAAAGGTTAGTATATTTGATGTAAAAATGTATGGACAGGATAGATGACATAATTCCATGCCATTTTAGTCCTATGAAATTGTCACTCTACCCACCAAAATGATCAACTAAATACTGCCTTTCACCTCCATATGCCCATCATGTCCTATGATTAACAGTTTCATAACTTTAAACAAAGACATGATTATTTTGAAAAAGAAGTTTAGTTCTGAGTATTCCAAGCTTAAAGTTATTGCCTCTAATAGTAAATTCTGCATACCATCTAATCCCAGTCAATGAAAACCTACTATGCATTACATGACCAGCAGAGAAAGAAAATTGTAGAAACACAAATATTTGCATATCAAGGTTATCCTTATCTGGCAAATGGTAGGTTAAAGCCACAGGTGCAAGGCTAAGGAAAGTATTGATCATTTGAGGCATTATGGGATAAGCTTTGAAATGACCCTTGCAGTGTTAAGCAGTTTGATGCATTGATAGTCTTTATAATCAAGTTTTAATTATTATTTAGCAATTTTAGGATAACACAGCTGTTTAACAATGTTAACTTGTGTTTGTGGTTGAATAAAGATGCAGTAAAGAACATAGTTACACAGCATGAGTATTGGTGTGTGTTATAGAATAATTGTGATGTTAAACAACAGTTTGCCAAAACATTTTTGAATACAAAGCAAGTTATATGGTAATTTATCACTGTCATTCAAAGCCGTGTGTGTGTGTGTGTAAGACATATTGGAAACCCCAAATCTTAATTCTTGTTTCTTATGCTGTTTTTGTACAGTTTCAGACTTAATCTGCAATAGTCAGACAGCAACATATAACATTATCAATATACTGCAGGTAATAATTTGGTCCTTCACTGCGTATTGTCATAAATGGAAATTATAAAAAAACGAAGAAATAAATTTCAAATAGAAAGTGTTTTACAGGGTTGATAATCAAGTTACCATGATTTAGAAAGAGAAATATAAGCTTGAAATAAGATAGTTTGCTTTGCATTGATTAATGTGGTTTTATGTTTACTTAGTTTATTCTATAATATGTCATCAGTTTTCATGAACAACAGTTGTTATGGTGTGAACCAGATTAAGCAAATGAATAGTAATTATTATCAAATTGGTTAAAGCCACTTTCAAATCATATTTTTAAGGTAAGGGTTATTTATTTATTATTTATATTTGTTATTAATGGTAGTATAAATTCACTTTTCAAATTCTTACAAAAGTTAGTTTTTTTTTTCTTTCTAGAAATTTAAAGATTGGATTATTATTCTGATTTGAGAAACTATAGCTAGTAACAAAGTTGTTTATATTATCCTTAGTTGTCAGAAGACTAGTCAAAAACTAAAGAATGCTGGAGAAAGAACTTCCACAGCTTTTGGTAACATTGGAACAAGCATGAGTAAAAAGTTTGAAGAAGTCAAGTAAGTGCTGTGTTTGTTTTGTTTTTGGAGATTCACTCAAAGCTATAAAAATATAAACAAAAGGGTGTTTTAACAGCTTAGCACAAATACTATTGTAAACATAAATCTGCTACCATTAAGAATATTTTCCATGGCCATATGCTATCTTTCATTGTTTTGTGTGCAAAGAAAATATTTTTTAGTAAGAATATTTTTATAGAAAACAGTTTAAAAAATGTAGAAAAATTTAGTCTTATTTGCAACAGTGTATCTTATTAAAAAAAGAAATTTACTCTCCACTCATTTAGAATTTGACCATGAAATGTAAAAAAATATATCTTATAAAAAAAATAGTTCATACAACATCTGATGCATTATAAATGTATATTTAAGGTTTAACAGCATTTAATTATGTAATTTAAAAAAAAAATAGATAAAGATTTTATAATTTGAACTACATGCTATACCAAATATTCTCAGTAACTTTAAAGTTTATTACTAGAAATGATTTTGACAATGAACAGTAAATCTTGTTATTGGAAAATTAGAAACATAGAACTAAACTATTTTCTGTAACATCCCAAAGCTAATGAATTTTTCCTAACTTGCTTCTTTCTTTTAAGTTTTTTTATGTAAAAGCTAATATTTGGAGTTTGTCTTGTTTATCAGTTATGTAAAGTTTACATCTGTAATAAGTACTATGTTCAGAAAAATCATACATAATGATTTTGTAATTATAGTTGGTATTTAATTTGTCATTTTTAAAAAATTTTATGTTACTGAAAATATTACGTTTATTTCATCATGTTTTATGAAGTGTTTAATTGTTAATACATTCTCGTTGGTAATGGGTTATAGAATGTATTCTCTGCACTTGCTGTATTTGTTTGTTAATCAAGACGTTTTCCATGAATTTCATTATAAGAGCTACTACTTACACATGAACATAACTTTGTTTTTATCCAGAAACTCCCAGACCTACAAAGCAATTGAAGAGAAAGTGGAAACTGCTTATGAAAATGTTAAGGTAAGTTTTAAGTACTGCTATCAATATTAGTAGAAATTATGGTCTTGTGGAGTTGTTTATTCAGTTTAAATTTTATTGTGCATTTAAATTGGGTTGAAAGATAGTTGTACTTAATACACTAATAGAGATGGTAAAGTAGTATTTGTTCTTTTTATAAGAAATAAATATTAATGAGACATTCAGGGATAGAAATAATACATTCCTGCATTCCTGAAAAATTTAACTAATTCCATCTTTTTACTTGGCTTTCATGATCAGGAATGCATGGTCCTTCCAAATTTCTTTAGTTATGACTAATGAAAGGGAACATATTGCATGGATTAAATATAAAAACAATTGATGAGGAAATGCAATTTTCTGGATAGTTTCCCTCGAGTGAATGTAATTTTCTTTCATTATTTCTATTCCTGAAATTGATTCAAAGTAAACTTTGCAACCATAACAACTTTCTTGCAAATTACTTTGATTTTAATAGCCAGATGACAGATTTTATTTAAAATGTATAGAGCTTTATGTCGGTATTAGCTGGTGGTTAATGTGATAGTTTCTCTTTTCTATTTAATATATTTGAAAACTATTTAAAGAATTATGAACTACATTGTGTTTTTGGGTAGAGATTACTTTGAGAATGTAAAATATGAAATATTTAATATCTATCTCGATGTTTAAAGTTTAATAGGTATTCCCTATTTTGTCATAAGGTGACAGCTGTTGTGTTTTTGTCATGAATGAGTGCATGACATAGGCCTAATCAGTTAAATTTTCTATCAGCAAAACCTACAGTAGAAGGTTACACAGTTTTTATGTAGGCTTTCATTCATTGACCGCATTCCAAATAGTTAATAGAAAAATTCAAATTTTAGCTGTTGTCTTTTTAATAGCAGAAGAAACAGGACTGAGTTTTCAGGTTGAATTTGAAATTTCTATGTTGAAAAGAAATTTTTTTTCCTTCAAATGCTTCTGTTGTCAGATAATAATCCTATAACTTGTTGAAAACAACAATATTCAGAAATTTATATATGTATGAGTGAGCTACAATTGGCCATGTAATGCTACAAAACCAACTGTAATCCCATCAGCAAAATACCATTCAGTTGTATAGATAATCACATATCAGGGCTCTGTTTAGATGTTTATTTATACCATACTTTTACACAAGAAAAAAAGTCTAGCTGTCACCATTTATGGAAACTTTGGCCACAAGATGGGGTAAAGACAAACAAAACTCCATGAATATTTAACACCATCTTTTGTATGCCATCAAACCTAGCTTGATCAGAACAGTTTTGACAATCTTTGTTTATATACCAAGTAGTATTCATCTTAACAATATTTCTTTATTAATATAAATTCAGTAATAGGGATTAATTTGTTTTAAAACGTTTACAAGATTGCATAATATAAGGTGGAAATTTCAAGAGAACTGCTCCTGCCTAGAAACTGAAAAGAGCAGTCCATTGTAAATTTCAATTTCACAATGTTTATCCATCCGTAAAATACCAATAAGATGTGATTAGATGATATAGTGTTATCTCACTCATTTGTATCTGTGTTGGTGTCCTAATTTTCTACCTAGGAACATTTACAGCTGGATTTTACGGAGATTGAGTACATTTGAGTACATTACGTTAAAATGATTTTGGAGACTCACCATGTTATTAAAGTCCATTTTGCCATATCCAGTCATGCTCTACCTGCCAGCCACACACCACTTCTTCTAACATGCTTTCCATAATTCATCTAGTTTATGACGATAACAATTTCCCAGTGCCTATTTCAACAGTCTGGTCACACAGAAATTCATAGACATTGTATTTAGTGATGTGAGCAGTATGTCTTCATTATGGAAGAGCATGAATACTCATTTTTTTCTCCAGTTACTTGAGGTATGTGACAGTTGAAAAGAAGGTATGACTTGAAGCTTTATCTTGTTGAACCCATATCTTGTTGGCCAAATTTCCAGATGGTAATCCTTCTTGATTATTTTGCATACTGTTGCCTGGGTCACATGGACAGCTTTTACTACTGAACTTAGTTCATACATTCCCATCTGTTACAAGGCACTGCACTTCTATTACCGTAGCTGGGGCATGACTTGTAGGTCTTTTTCTGGGTGGTTCTTGTCCCCAAAGGTGATCCATATTCCTTTGTTTTCCAATGAAGTTAAGTACAACGAATATCTCCCTGTAAGTTCTAAATTTCTGATTTGAACATATTCCAAGAAACATATAGATCACTAGTAGTAACAAAAAGAGAACCTTTATAATAGCATATTTCCATTCTCCCAGTTGACCCATTGCAAACATAGCAATTGAGCTATGAAACCGTTTTGGAAATAGGCAAAAAATATTGATAGTTCATAGAACATTGTGTCAAGAGTACATTTCAGTGCAAATGCACCACTAGCTTTAAAAAACTATGATAAAATCCAATACAACTGGAAATTAATTTTACAATAAATCAGATTATCAGGTACCATTTCCATTAATGTTAAGCAAGCATCATACTACTTACACATTCATCACACGTAATGGGTACTGCATCATCTAGCCCACTGGTGCTTTCTACTAGCTTCTAAACGTTGTAGTATTTTTCTTGGTATTAAAGAATGAGAGCCCTAATAGTTGTAATACAAAGAGATGGATAATTATTAGTTTTTCTAATTGATTAATTGAATGAAAGCTCTCCCTCTGTATAAGGACAGAAATTAGGATGTGCTAGCTTTTTTCAACCACTCTATTATTCTGATATGGTATTAATCTTTCTAATTTTACATAACTTGTTTTAAGTAATTTTTGAATTGACCTTGGTTTCATATGATAGGTCTCTGCTGAAGCTCCATTCTCACGTTTTGCAAACAAACTTTTTTTATTCTTTAAAAATTAATTTGTCACAATTTTTTTTATAAATAATGTGGATATTTCCTACTTGGCAAATGAATCACTAATGTAGACTAAATACCATCATATGTCATCATTTCATTTCTTTTCAAAATGTGCAGTATTCCCTGACTGATCTTCTATAAATCAGATAAATTGATAATTGAATAATGCAAATCTGTTTTGCTATCACTGGTAAGAGTAATAGTGTTTTTATTTAAAATGTGTCAAGATTACAGTCAGAAGTAATTAAGTATCCACTTAGTCTGTTTATTTATGCATGTTATTTGAATAGGATAAACATAAAATTAATATTCATTAAAGATTTGAGTCATCAGAATATTTGACAGTCACCTACCATACTCACTAAACAGTAAACTTAACTTCTCTAATGTGCCGACAATTTTATTTCATTTGATGACTGAGTTATGAGCATTAGTATAATCTTTCTTTTTTATTTAATAACGAGTTCATACCAGCCCACATCTGTAGTTTGTTAAGTCAACTTTTAATTAAATTCATCCTTTCTTAGAGCAGAATTCCAAGATCCAAGAATGAAAACCCACAAAATGTTGAATGTACTTCTGATGGAAAAGAATATACATCTGCTTCTGATGTTTCTTCTGAGAGTGTAACAGAGCAAACCCCCACTTTTTCATAACTGAGTATACTTATAATTACTAAAAAAAGTATTTTTTACAATTGGAACCTCTATTTTCTCAAGAAAATTAATCAATATACAGATGGTGCATGCAAATTACTATGAAAACAGATGATATATAAAGATATACCAATACTTATGTATGTTTTTGTGAGAAACATGCATTACATTGTTGCCAAATGTGCCTTATAATGTTATCGACTAGTATAGCCTCTGAGCTATTTTATTTGGATAAGGACATTTTATTCACTACTTATGCTTTATATATAACCTGAAATCATTAAGATGCAAATGTTTCTAAACCAATAGATGAAACATGCCTTTAGATATTGGAAAAATAAAACTTTGTTAATGAAAACAATTTAATATATAAAAATAACCAAATTAGTTTATACTTAAAAAAAAGTGTTAAAGGTATGTTCCCTCTTATGCACCATTCTGGTTTAGTTACACCAGTGATCTCATCTTCAGGTCTAGCCGTATTTTTGGTTATAGTCAAGTTGGATAACTTGTCTTTGTTGTGCTAATTGCTACTATTTATGAACTTAACAAAGGAAGATTTCTTTAAATACACTTTCTGATTTTGAAAGAAACATTAGTTTGACTTTGAACTTTAAGCCATAGACTTGTGTACTGCTTTATTACAGTGACTTCATGATAATCATATTAGTTATATTGACTGATTCAGTGTGAAAAGGGCTAAAAAGGCTGAACTGAGGAAACCTATAATATATTTGGTGATTTGATGAACCCTGGAAAATATTGATTTCTCTTTGCTCCTTCTTACATACTTTTCAGTGCAGGAAACTGAAATACACTGATTAAGTTGGTAAGTGATCACTAGGCTTGTATCCATTATTCAGTTTTTAAATCAGGAAACACTTTTTATGTTTGGTTTTTGCCATTATAATTATATTTTAATGGAAAAAAAAGCCCTCCTCTGTTAACAATCTAACCTATATAAAAGCCAGTGTGTGTGTCATATCACTCTTGATTTCTTGAAATAAGAGGTGTCATAAAAGCCAAAATGCATTTATCCAGATGGAATAATTCAATTAGTGTCTGCCCATTATGAGTTTAATGACTGGGGTGCAAGGGGGGCCGCGAGGGTGGTGGAGCCGTGAATCCTTATGAGTGTAGTGAGGGTTGGTATAATAAGCCTAAAGTAAATGCGTATTGTGGGATCACCTAGCCTAGAGCCAAGTGCATAAAATTTATCCTGAAAGTAAAAATATCAATTCAATTTTCAGTTAAATCGCCAATGTTTATAATAAAAAACAAACCTCTTTCATCAACAGAAACCCTAAATTAAAAAATTCAACAAATATTTTTCCAGTTTTGTTGTCTGTACTTTTTCATTTTATACTTTCAGTACATAGACTAACAACAATATTAGGTTATACTTTTTCCTAAGCAACATTACATAAAAGCCATTGTTGGAATGTAGTGCTACTAAAACACACTGGCTTTTCTATTGATTAGAAGTTGTTAATCCAACTGATTTTTACCAATAATTATTCTATGAATATGCCACAAATTCATTTTATGGATGATCTTAATTTTGATTGGCTCACAAAGGAATGTACAGACATTTGACTGCACCTTTTGATTCTTTGTCGATTAAGCTTGATTTCTCAAAATTTATTTATTCCAGTTAGATATGAAATGTGAGATTAGGTTATACTATGTGGTGGGGATGGTAGTACTTGCTTCATCTTTTTTGATGGGCTATACACTAGTAAATGCTATAAATTTCTTCTTGCAAATTTTATGATGTGATACAACATAAACTTTAAGGTCAATGGGTCCCATTTATTCCAGGGATTGAATTACAGTTTGTTTGGAATTGGCATCTTGACTGAAATGTAATGTATTCATAAGTACATTTACTTAATAGTGTCTCAGTCTATTATTGAGTAACGTCTACATTTGGTTACTAGTTTGGAGAAAAAGTATCATTGAGGTTTATGTATTGAGTGATGGTAATATTGAATTTGTGTCAGTTACCAAATCTCCCTTTTAATGTCTTCCAAAATCTCAAAGGATATTGAATAGTAAAAATTTTTTCTCATACATTATTATTTAAAGCACTCTATCTATAAGTGTTATCTTTGCCTTACAGTACTTTTATTACAGAATATTCTTATGTTCTAGTTTCTAATTAAGTACCTTATGCAATACTTTTATTAGTTTCTATACACTTTTTTACAGTGCATGTTAATGCACAGATAGTAAGTAAGTTTTTACTTTTTGTTGTCAGCCTTTTCCTATTCATGATCTTAAGGAATAAAATTGAAAATGGCAGTTCATCCAGAGTGTTTTACTGTGTTACTTGTGTAATATACTTTTTGAAGTGCAGTGTGCTCGCATTTATATTAGTTTGCTACTCAAATGACAGTTTAAAAATGAACTTGGAAATAAATTACTGAGTTCCAAGCAGTTCTTTTGGGCTATTGTAATATATATATATAAATGACATTTTGTTCATCTTCCTTAGATTATGCTAATCACATAAACGTGTACGAATTGCACCTTGGTTTGAAGTGTTTAGTGATTTCTATGGTTGAATCCAACTGGAGAACACTGCAGTTTTATCCATAATGCACAAATATTTATATCCACTGTGCTAATAGCAAGAACTACTTTGATCCAGTGGTAAAAATCACTTTGTTTATATATAGAGATGAAAAAAAAACAAGAAAATATGTAGTGTAGTTTCAAGTATGAAAACTGAATGAGTTTTTTAATTACTTCTAAAACATATGGAGCATAAGGCAACGGTGAAATAAAAAATAATTAAGGTATATTTGAAGGTGATGAAGCCAAGCAGGAAATTAACAGAGATGCTGTTTACAGACCTATCATAAAGAAACACCATCTATATTATATATATATATATATATATATTTTAAATTAACATTTGAAATACCCCAAATTAATGATATTTTTGTAAATATTGCATTGACATTTATGGAGCTTATTTAGATGTAAGGTAGATTAGATGAAACAGTAAATGGATTAAGTTATTATAGATGAGTAAGACATTGCATTGGCTAGATCTTGGCTAGTTTTCAATGTGGTTTCATTCTTTGTTTTTGTATTTATAATGTTTCAAGGTTTCTGTTTAAGGTTTTCCTTATTTTTAGATAAAAATGTAGTATTCAGGTTTACTGATGTCTAGCAAAAAAGCCAAAAGATTCTGCAAAATGGGGATCCAGAACTGTCAAGTGAAGAATAAATTGAACATGAACAGTAAAGGAAAACAAGTGTAGTTTTAAACAAAAATTCGTTATTAACAAACACAATGTTATGTCAATAAATCTGACTGGGCTTATTCTTTTGAGTAACCTGGCTGCTGGGATTGAGCACGACAAAACAAGAGATAAAAACCAAGAGTAATAGAGATCAAAATCAAGAGACTAAACTGAGATTATACCTGACTTAAATATCCTGTAAAAACAAAGAAAGTCAAGTATTCCACATGTTACATATGCTTAGAGGTTTTTGTATTGCCTTTTCAAATAGGTTACTTTTGAAGACAAACACATACACACTAGCTTGAGACTTTTGAACAAAGGTTGCGGTATGTGGCATTTGCTTGTGTAAAATGATTAGCATATGTTTACAACCTTGAAACATAAGGTTAGTAAAACTGTCAACTACATGCAGAAATTGCAAAGAAATTTAGAAAAAATATTATACGAATATACCCGAATAAAGATATATTCTATACTAGTTATGGAAATGTAAAATTCATGACTATTTCATTCATAACACAGGTTTTAGACTAGTATCTAGTCAAGCTGGAAAGTTGTGAATACATTGGTGACTTTGTTCAATTTGTAAGAAAATGAATACGAGTTAAAGAATAAATAGTTACTACTATTTGATCAGTGTAGTTTATAAAGTTAAAAAATCTCGTATAAGCAAGTAATATTTTGTTAGTTTAGTAGGATTATTGTATTAGTAAGATTTCTTTCATGTTTTTTGAACAGTTAATTCTTGGGAAAAAGATACATTTCAAACTTTTCTAGACTGTTTTTTGCATCTTAGAAACTAAGGCGTTGAATGGCTTTATGAATTATTGTAGTATTTATTTAAAATTTGTATTTATAGCACATTTTATTTACTTTTACTGTATTTCTTCAATACTTAAAATTTTCATACCACTCAAGAACTCTTGAAAAAGCCTTCAAATAGGTTGAAAGATCACTGGGATTTTACTTTCAAAGTAAAACTTCAATACAAAATGGGATAACTCTGCCACTATTAATTTCCCATGCTTGAAATGGACCAAAAACAATATTAACATTGCACTTTCAAAAAGTGTTTATGGAAAAATATCAGTATATTGTTTTGGTTTTACTTTGAAGAGAAAATAATTGTTATGAAATCATGCTTATTTTCAAATAATTACTTGCATTCTGAAATGAGAATATTGATATTTATAAGTTTAAACATACTACCAATTTTTACAGATTTGCAGATGCTTTCATTTTAACTTTGGTAAAACTTGTTACTTAATAAATTCATTTAGAAAAAAAGCAATATTTAAAAAGAATTGTATATATTGGGGTTCAATGGGTGTGGTTCAACTTAAAGCAGAATGCTTACAAAAGTTTGCTTAAGTTAGTTTTATAGACAAAAAAACAACAACAAATGTTCCTGTTACTCAATAATTTTCCTTATATATGTTTTCAACTAATTTTTATTTGATTTACCAAATTAATATGTTTTTACATGATACCAAAATTTAATTTTGTTGGGATTATTCTTGAGTATTGCATAATATGTGTGTGTGTGTGTGTAAATAATTTTAAAGTCCACTTATGGAGAAATATTTTAAATTATAACAAAAATGATGATTTCATTTTAATTTAAAATAAATATTTAAAAAGTATTCAAATTCATGTTCCATAAGATTTTTTACAGTATTTTTCAAGTTCAACTTGCCTTCCAAACGTTATGTGAATAATTATATATTAAAAATACCATTGAGAGTTGTGCAAGTCCAAGGGTGGCAAATAGCCTTAGTAGCTTTGCCATAAATAAAAATCAAATAAATCCAAGGATTACAAGATCTAATATTTTAAGAGGCTAATGAATAACTATAAAGAAGTGAATGTGCCACTAAAAATCTTACATGTTGTAAATTTGAACATTTTCAAAGAAAAGTCAAAATCTTAAGCTTAACTGTAATAGTTTACATGCATGCTGTGTGTGTGTGTGTGTGTGTGTGTGTGTAGAGTAACACAATTAAACTTAATATTTTGATATATTCTGAAACGTTTATTTTATGAAAATAATCCTTATAATCCTTCCAGAAAATACTTTAGCAGGGAAAGCTATAAAAATTCAATGAACAATATATACAATTACAACACTAATATGTTGCATCTATGTTTTTTTTTTACAGTTTTCACTGCTGAAATATAATGTTTATTTCCAGCAAGTTCTCTAAGTTAATTTTGAATAATTATATCTTGATTTTTTCAGTATCATGATCTCCTAATGTGATAAACCTTTTGATGAATTTGTGTTCATCTAGAACAATATTAGCCGTTTTTACTCGTACTTTTATAGTCAAAAGATGGTTGTTAGATAAAAGTATTTCAGAAGTTAAATGTTTGAATTCTTTCATTGTTATATATATATATATATCATGAAAAGAACTTTATTAAACCAACTGTAATTTATTTTTATAGGTATTATTTTGAAAGACTAAATTATATGTATGGTATTTTTATATCTTTATGAAATATATTGTGACTTCAGGGAAGTTGCTTCATCTAGATTAAGTATTTTGTAGTTTATTCAAGCTGTGGTGAATATTATATCTACCTTTCTCATTTTTTTGTTTATCAATTTCAATGTCTGTCTCTTTAATTATGCATGATTATTTATTGATAATTTGGGAAAATAAAATTTGTTATTTTTAAAAACAAAATTTTGACTCTTTGTTGGTTGTTACATTGAATTATGGAACAGGCATGAGCTAATGGTTAGCATGCTGAACCATGAATCCAAAGATTCATGGTTTGTGTACCACTGCGTCCAAATCATGCTTTTGAAATGTGGGTTTGTTATAAGAATGACATCTCACAATTAAATTAGAATAGCCCAAGAGTTGATGGTGGGTGCTGTTGACTAGGTTACCTTTCTCTCCAGTGAATAGAAATGTTCAAAATTAGGGACAACTACTGCAGATAGTTGTTATGTAACTCTTTGTGAATATTCAAAATACAAACAAATACTGAATCACCGTCACACCGAAACATGCTCACCCGGTGTCCGAACTAGGACGTAAGTCTTACTCCGGAAACACCGTACGAAACTACTACCTTAGTATTAACAAAAACGACATTGAGTAACTAACATCAGTAACTAACATAATCGAAAATATGCCAAAAGTGTTTAAAAACAAAACTAATTATTTGTCTAATCTCACGCTGTAGAGCGAAGTTCCTTAAAGTTTATACTATTGTATTACAGATATTTTGTTTATTACTGTTATTTAAACAATGGTCTAAAATTCAATTATTAATTAAACGATCTTTTTACGAATACTAAAATCAACTTGTGATAATAAAAATACTGTTAGTTTGGCTGCAGTCACCTGGTTGCTCACTGGCAAGATTCAGAGCTCATAACACTAGAATTACAGTCTCGATGCTCACCGAGGACATAGTGCACCGTACAGCTTTACGTAAAATTAAACTATTGGATGGTTTTACTTCATTGTCCCGTCAATATTTATTCTTGGTAAAACGTGTTTGGTGTCCACCATTGTATAAAGAACTATCGTTGACCCAGGAGCAGAGGATCTGCAGATAAACTTGATAATGCAACTTAAATAAACGTTTTATATGTGAGTGCAGTATTTTTTGTTGCATGTTTTTTGTGAGTAATTACAGACTTTATTAATGTTTGCGTTCTTTTACCTGATGTGTCTGTAAACAACATTTATTTGAAAGACAAACTATTTATTTACATTAGTAACAGAAACACTTGGTAGCAAATTACAAAACTGCTGATATATGAATGTTATGATAGTAAATACAGGGACAACAAATAATAGTCGCTTATCTACTCCTTCCTGGCCCGGCATGGCCAGGTGGTTATGGTGTTCGACTCGCAATCTGTGGGTCGCGGGTTCGAATCTCCATCACACCAAACATGCTTGCCCTTTCAGCCGTGAGGGCGTTATAATTGAAGGTCAATCCCACTAAATTCACACCTCAATCCAACTCCACTCAGGATTTACATAATAGCGTTATGGTGTGACCTTCTGAGCAACGTAACAGATATGATTTGTACTCTCATGATACTTTTTAATAACGTATACTTTTACTTATAGAAGGAGAAAAGTTTATAGCTACGATGTAATGTTTGAAAGTACTGTTACGTCTCCGGTTGTTAATTAATTTTCTGTAACTTCGTTTCCGACGAAACTTAAGCGACACAAGTTCTTTCTTAATAAAAACTGGTTTATTCTTTTCGAATATAACTTTACCGATACACTCAACTTCAACAATCGAGCTAAACAAACGC